AGGTGTATAGTGTAGCACAATGCTACTTACCCCTCTCCCTCCTCCTATGTAAAACTCTGGTTTCAGAAGAGCACAAAAATGTGCTTTGCTTTTTTTTAATCACACATTTTATGGCTTGTCCTGTAAATACCAGATTTGTATCCTACATTGTCATTTCATACAAGATCTATCTCTTGGGGTAAAATGGCAAAACATATTAAGAATGTTAATAACTACATCAATAGTTGCGTTCACGCACAGCTCCTTAGCACGGGCTAAGAGGTCAAATTCCTTAGCCCGTGTTAAGAAAACGTGCGTGAACGCTTAGCACGGGCTAAGGAATGCTAAGTACGGGTTAAATCTGATCCGAATTTAAGACGCGGTCTAGACCTTAGCAGGGGCTAACGAAGTATGCGCGAACGCTTAGCCCAGGGCTAAGCGCCCTCTGCAGTGACCTTTGGGTGTGAAAATTGTCCCATGTTCGTATAACGACACTATACTATTCCACCAGTCATTACTCCGCGCTCATTTCCACACTAATCGGGTCACTGTAGTAGAGCGTACAGCAGCTCCAATCGTAGACAAAATAAATTTGGTTCGCTGTCTACGACATGCATTAATAAAACGCTGTATTCTGTTACGCCCGTTGTATACTGTTTATGTGCATCCAAATAAGTGGTCCGTCTTATCTCGCGTTCCTGTGCACGAAACATGCCAGCAGCAGAAATAGAACCTCGCGCGTGTCATCCATTTTTCGTTCGTAAATAGCGGCTTACCAAAGGTCACCGACTAATGGCACCCCTTAGCCCGTGCTAACGACTGGCCCTCCCTGTGCGTGGACGCAATTGGGTCTAGCCGAAATGCAAATATGCTAGATAAGCCTAAATCAGCTTAAATCTTAGCCCGTACTTCGTGTAACGTGAACACAACTAATGTGGCCTCAAAAAAATGTCTGATTACCTTTTAAGACACATGCAAGAGACATTTTTGAAATATTGTCAAGTAAACAATACAAGCCATCTTAAAAGCATGTTTACCATATATCCTAACTCAATTAGATATAATCTAACTATGGTAGATTAACAAGAAAAAGGCTGGAGAATAAAGGAGTTGGTCCCAATTCAAGATTTACCTGTCCTCATCAAAATGTATTTTTTTCACAAAAATGTATACCTCATTTCATTCTTTCATCATCATTAAAAGCCATCAGAAGGGATGTGAATCTTTATTCAGACATACACACATCACAGGTGACCCCCCATCCTATTATTTACTGTTTTACACAGACCCTTCTCAAGATAACATGTGAATGATAGCATATCAAAATATTGCTGTCATCATTTCCAATAGTAGAGCAAATCGAACAGAAGGGCTGTGACTGATTGAAAGGAAAGAGAAAGAAAGAAAGAAAGAAAGAAAACTAATGAAAACCAACTTCTCCATTTTACGACAAGCTGCAAAAGACAATTAATACATGGCACAAATATAAAAGTGACCTTTGTTCCCAATAACTGGTTTATGCATTACTTCATGTTACTTCCCACTGCATATGACTTCAGATTTATACGACTTTGTGTGAGTTGTCAATAGATAAAAACACACAAAGTTGCATTCAACCCCAGCATTAAAGGTACTGGTTGGCAACGGAGAGCTGATTTGGCACAAGTTGATTTCAAAAAGAAAAAAAGAAAAATCAGGGAAGATTTTATCACATTTTTAAACAACCATAATTTCCTAATTAAGTTTAACCTTAAAAAAAAAGTTTTCTGACATTTGTACAGAGCAAAACTGTATAGAAAATATTATATATTTAAAAAATAAACAATTAGGCAAAATCAACTGCTTGAGATGGCAAACTGCCCAAGTAACTCTATGAGGAAATAATTTTTTTTTAAATTAATTAGTAACATAATCCTGCAGGATATTTTTTTAAATGACATTTATACAAATACTTTCATACTTTACAAAAAAAACAAATCTAATGGAATTTGATAATAAAAATTCAACAGTGATGAGAAAATAACTGAGCATTCTGCCATTAACAGATTTGTAAGAACATATAGACATCTAAGCCTTTTGCAAATACCTGATATGGCCTCCCAATACATGTTATAAATTAACCGGCTCCTGGAAAGTACTATCATGCACATATGAACAATACCTGCAGCAATGAATCTGCGCACACACTTTATTTTGTTTTGGATAAACTTGAAATGCAGTCCAGGCAAAATTCCAGTGGCACAACATGACCTATGTTGTTTATTTTTATAGAGTAACGTTTTTAACCCTGTAGCTGTCCTGAAGGTCAAACTAAGTGAGGTCACTGATCACAACCCACATCACCTGGCACCATTACCATATTTTACATCTGTAATTCCAAGGTGAATAAAATGTAGCACGTAATTATTTTTTTTTTTCATACTGTGCACCAAATTTGTTAGTAACAGTATGTGTTGGGTACCTTACAAGTTGAGAACCAGGGCAGTTACTTTTTCTTCTCTGCAGGTTTGGGAGACTAAGCTCTATTCTGTTGAAATATTACTCGTAATTCAATATGACAAAACAGTGAAACACTATATTAATAAATTAACAGTGACCACACCACCTTGGCAAGGCTATAACAATTTTAACATACTATTTTCAAATGTAATGTCATTTAAATGTATCTCAGGATCATTTCTAACCAAAGACCAAAACAGGTCAAGTCATCTACAAGTATGGTTTAATGAGATCAAAATACTCACAAACTTGAGTATTCCCACTGTCCTGTACTATCTTCTCCCATGTTGCCATGGGAATGGTCATTTCTAGTAATGGTCATATCTCCCATTATGTCAGATGTCATATTGCATTGTGGGAAATGTGAGCCCCTGTTTTTCCAAAGCACTAGTTCATCAAACAGACCGTGATTTGGAAATAAAACTAACACACTTGGCCCACATTACTTATGTGACTGATGTCAGCATGCCTTCATGAAGTATGCCACACATTTATCTGAAGGAACGCATGCGTCTAGTATCTAGACTTGCTCTGGGGCACATCCCACTTTCCATACACACAACAGAATTTCAAGGTTTTTTCCAGCGTTGCATGAAAACACGTAATAATTTTATTTCCGATTGACTCGGAAATACTACTTCATACTACGAAGTCAACTGCATGTTGGAACATAATATTTTACCAAACTCACCTTTCAAAAGGGCCAGGGGTTGAAGCTCCACGCTGTTCTTCGTTCTGTACTTGGACGACCCTTGCGATCTTTTCTGCTTTCCTTTCCTAACTGACTTCTTTACAAACGGGTCGATTTTGTCCGAGACCGGGCCAACAGCCGACATACTGTAAATTAAGTGCTATCGCTGGTGTGCAGAGTTGATCGGACTCCGATGACTTTGATATTTTCCGTCGATCTGTGATCTGCCCTTGTTACCCTCGATGTTGATGTATGCCGGATTGCTGAAGCTGAGCGATTTGCAAGCGCTCAAAACGCGTATTTCCACGCCGTCAAGCCATCAACATCTTAATTTATCCGCTCAATAACAATACAAGAATCCAAATTTGTCATCTAGTTGGTCCACAGAGCACAAATTAAGGTGAGATTCGCAATATTTGGTTGTCTTTTCACATACGTACAGCTTGCCAGATTAGTTTTGTTGCTAATATCTTGTCCTAAGCCACCGGTCACATGACGTCAATGGAGCGATTCAATTGGGCGATCACTTTCCAAATGCCCGGATGCATTAGGAATCCTGACGTCAAAGAGAGAGATGTACGCATGTCTGATTGATCAGCTTGCGGGAGACTGAGAGGTACGCTGTCGGTTTCTTTGCCTCTAGTTTTACAACATCCGAGAGAAAGTAGAACCGTCACCCAAAATCAAACCAATCCTGATTACATAAATAATAAACATTATAACACGTTTTATTATTGAGGGGTTAGGATTTAATCATTAAACATAACACCCCGGGTGTAACCCGGTAAATATAACGGTCCATTATTTATTTCAAGTTGCTACGGACGTGGCCATTATGATACGTCAATGTAATATTTGCCCCCCCCTTTTTTTTTATTCTTCTTTTTTTATCCAGCATATTCACTTAAAGAGGTGTAGATCAGCCCAGGAAAGGCAACGGTGTTCTTTAACGTATACCTTTATAAAGACAGCCCACGACAGTACCATGTATGCATAATATCAAGAAGGCATTGGAAGAAGATACATCTTTGGTAATGTATATAAATACTAGTATGCCAGGCGACATTTTTTGACAGTAAATGTCACTTTAGTCTCTTTGGACATTTTTATGTGTAAATTAACAGGCACTTGATAGTACATGTGGTGACTAACCGTGACTTTGAAGGGGTTTTTGAACGTTAAAGAAACCACCTGTCTCTGAACATCATCAATTTGACTATAATATTGGCATTTTTTTAAAATGTTAGACACCAAATTAGTTTTTTTGCATGACAACAGACCAGCACCACGAGTTATATAATAGTATGTTGTGTATTTTTTTTTCTTTTTACTGAAAGTAATCACATCATTCTTCACAGATCTAAAATGTATGTCAAGTACCCGGAGCGTGTAGCTGAAACAAGTCGACCTACTTCTAGAATAGCAGTAGTAGACGGTAGACAGTAAACGGTGTGCCGTTGTTAATAATGTTCGAATGTTCTGGGAGTTTCGACTGGGGCACCGCATGCGTATTTTAGGAATAGGCCATTAGCAATGGGGGTGTATGAAAGAGTAATTATGCAATTATTCCTTATTATTAATTAATTATTCCTAGTAATAATTTGTTGTACAGAAGTTGCGACTTACTTTTTCGTTAGGTTGTATATCTGGACACGGGTATTAATACCATTACCGTGATATGGAATATTCGTTTTCACTCAGTTGTGTGAAAATGTACTAGTATTTTGTTTACCTCACCCGAGTTTCTTATTGTCAAATCCTTCAATTATTCGTATATTACACTGTTCATAGTGACTGTCTATTAACGCGAGTATGTTGGGTGAACAGGAATAATGGAGATGGAATCTTCCGTCACAGACATCCCTAAAATGGGAATATTGCGATAATCCTAGTAGCACAGTTGAAGCATATTTTCGATAGATTGCATAATTAGATATGCAACAATGTACTGTACAATACGACACATTGAAAAAACACTACTATTTGAATTACATGGCATACTTTTTGTTTTTTGTCACCAAATCTGAAGCGGACGTTGGCCTACAAAATTCATGCACAGTGTAAATATTTTGCACAAACAACAAAATATAGTGAACCCCTTGTTGTTATTTATTTAGTTTTGCAATACTACATGTGCGTATTTATATACCCCGGGCACGACAACCACTATATGCATGTTAGTTTGAAAGTTAATCAACATATGAGTTTTGTAGATAATCACCACCCATCAAAGTAGAATGTTAGTATGTTAAGATACCATAAACTCAACAATATTTTAAGGTGTACGTACCTGAAAACAGGCCATGCTATTTTCAGATTGGTTAAAATCAATGGACGTGAAGTTCAAAGTTGCGCACATGGTAAACACAATTGTGCAAGTCGGAAAAATGTCACCCATCAACTCAGATAAGGAATCTTTAGATTAAATTACACATTTGTAAACAATATAACGCAACCATTCCCCGTGCCCTCGACCTATCAGGCTCATGACCCGTGGTGAACATAGTGAAACTATTGAAGCTTTGCCCATGTCCTGATATTCAACAATCATCCCGTAATTTACATTAAATTCCATACAATATTACAAAATCAAGCTGGTGGTTGTGATGACCACGTGTTAACAGTGGGTCTTATGCGCAGTCGCGCTGCACGTCGCGTAGTAAGTCACGTACCACGAATAATGTTATGCAAATGAGATCACAGAACCTACGGTAAAATTCAGCAATATGATTAAGAATTCAAAAAGAAATTTCATATTTGTTTTAGGGGCTATTTTCTATTTTAAACTATTGTATTCTATCGCATGTTTATATTTATGTTGTTAGTTTAAAACAACCATTTTCACAGAATAAGGCGACTAACAAAACAAATTAACCCCGTCCCTCCCCGCCGCGCGTCTATTGTGTGGTTATTCAAGAGATCAAACTCTACTCATCCATAGTGCTAACTAACACTTCTCTCTCTATGTTGTTATTAACAAAGTTTTAATTTTCACAATGCTGGAGAAGACGATGTGAACAAAAGATCTGAAGTTTATTTTTCTTATGATGTTGGTGACAGTTACAAAATAAGTAATTATTATCAGTAAACAGAAGACTTCGAGTAAGTACGAGTTAGACATCGTGCCAAACGAGACAGAGTAGCACTAATGTAAATGCAATTACATGCAAGGAAAACAATCCCGGTGACGCTATTGGCTTGATTGTCTCTTCATTTGCATAGAATTCCCTTTCCCGAAGCCACACTATAATAATAACTTTATTACTCAACAATTACCATCTAGGGGTAATGTATGGTAAGACAAATACAACAATAAAGAGAAAATTACAATAACAATACTATAAAAAAAATTACCATAAAACAAAAACGTTATTTTTTGTATATTGTTTGTTTTAGGTATTTAACTAGTGGAAAACTGTTGTTGCATATGTTTATAAAATTGTTTATTCTATCCTGTTTATTTATTATGTTACATTCTATAAACAGCAATTTTCGTTCTTTCTTATAGCGCCCACAGTCTAAAATAACATTGATTTCATTTTCCACTTTTTTATCATTACATTTTGTACATATTCTATCTTTTTCTTCCACTGTTGGCTTCCTTCTTCGTGCTAATTCAATTTCTAGATTATGGTCACTTATTCTGAATTTTGTTAATATTTTTCTTCTTTATTTCCTTTATTTTCTCTACGTATTTTTCAGTTTTAAATATTGTTTTGAATAAACTGTATGTTCGTAATTTATTCCCTCGATTTGATTGTTACTACAACTAACTATTTGATTTTTCCAGGTCTGTTGATATTCATTTGATAGTTTACTATCGATATTTTTTGAGAACTGATTGGTGTTTTTTTTTATCTCGTATTCACCTTTAGTTTTATTAAATTGGTTCTCCCCCATGATAATGATAAGACTGCTGTATTCATAGAAAATGTTCGAATGATTTTCTGATTATTTTTATTGTTATCATTGTATAATTATAACTCAGAAAATCGCAATAAAATCTTAAGATCATAACTAATTTGACTAAAATTACCTGAATCGTGACAATTTTCCAAATTTGATATAACATGGAAACGTCTCATAACGTCAGCCTGGAATAGATGACCAATGTGCGTTGGTTTTAAACACAGATATGTTATTGTAGCATGTAATTTCAAAGACGTGTCAAGAGGGTAGATATAGCCTGCATGAGACGGACGCTCCCAACTTTCCTTCATTTTTCAAACATCATCTAATCGACGTTGGTGGCGTGCTCCTGAAACACTTTTGCAGCGGTGTCTTCTTTGGAGTTTGCTACTGGTGTTGACCATTGTTACTCGTGTAAAATAGTTGCGACTTTAAATTGGAAATGGGTATGACTTAATATTGAAGTTGTAAACCTACTTTTGGTTTGGCAACAAATTCAGACATTTTGTAGCACTGAAGTTAGTCTGTACTTGGCATATAATCGAAAACAATTCTCATTGTTGCAATCACTCGGGGTCGTTTGCACGTTCATGTTGATTTTTGCACCCTACTTTCAATTCACTTAGAAGGGCCTTTTAGGATTTTGTTGGAACAGGAATTCTCTTTCCACATAAACAGCACTAGGGGTGCCTAGTTTTTGAATTATGAACCTCAATTTTATATATTTCTTATTTTCTGTTTGTTTGTTTTTGTAATCCGTAATCACCACGAATGAACTTATTGCTTTAAAATGCCCACATTTTTACCAATTATTCACATGTATCTTCAAGTTGTATAACTGTTTGTAGTAATAGTGACGTGTTTGTTTATTCTATAAGAAAGAAACTATATAAGACATTTTTTTCTCAGCGTTTACGACAGGGATTCCCTATCTGATTTCAGTGGTGAGCCAAATTTACTGACTTGCAAAATTTTTTTCACAGAAATTTTCTCTCCAAAATTGTTCTCACTAAATTCTGCTCAACACAACCTCCAGCACTGACTTGGTATATGGGTTAAATGGTTAGCATGCTCGCCCAGCAACAAGGAGATCGTGGGTTCGACTCTGGTGGGTCATTACAAGCTGGGATGATGGATGGATCTTGAACGATGGATGGATGATTTAATTGGCTTTACGTTGATCTGCATAAATAAATTAAATAACGGTAACCGTGATTAAATTAAACCGTTGAACACCGCATTTATTCCTGGCAACATTTGGACATTTTTATATATTCTAATACAATTGTTTGTCTGGTGATAAAAGATGAATTTGACGCTCATCGGGTGAAAAGACGAGGCAAACAAAACTCGTTTCTATGTGAAAAGGCGGTTGGACAAGATTTGTCTGAACATTGAACTTCTGGTAGGCTAATCACATGACAATTTGAGGAAAAATTCTATTTCATGTATATAACCATGAATACCTGAATTGTATGTACATTCGAAGCATGCACATAGATCTAGTACACAAAAAATGCAGAACCAATCGCAGAACTTCCTTGATATTACATTCTAAACATCATGATGGATGAAGTGCGTCCCCTATAGTCACCTATTTATATGAGGTGTTAACATATATAGGAATATTCACATACTCACTTATAACAAATATATTTACTCCTCTTCCAATAATCAGATAACGTATTTTTGATCTGTAGAGAGAGAGTTGATTTTGTTGGACACCACACAATTGGCATGCCATTTTGCCATTTTACTCTAAATACATATGTATATCCCACAGTTAAAGGACGGCAACGTGGACGCTAACGCCCGAGATTCAAACAGACTATTTACTACCCTTAGTGTCCGAGTTGCCGTACTTTAACAAAGTAATACTGCGGATCTGGTGAGTTTCAGATGGGGTTTCCGTAGCGCAATCACAGGTTGTGTGTTGTTAAAACGTACGTGTTTTGCGGAATTCCTTTTGAATGTATAGAATGACAATCATGATGGACGAATGACTGCAGTAATCGCACCTGATTCATATACGTATCATAGTGAACAACACGTTGCATTCAATGACAATTCAACTGATTAGCTTCTTTATGATAGTGAGCATGCATCTACATAGCTATACTGGCAAAGTCGGGACTTCTTTTTTGTTTTACAAAAAAAATATATACATATATTTGTCAATTTAGCCTTTTTAGCGTGATCGTGAAAAGTAGCGTGACTGTGAAAGCGATTTCTTTTGCGGTGACTTTAGTTTTCGCGGTCACGCTAAAAGGACTTAAAACATTTTTTCTCTTTGGGAAACAAACAAGCAGCCTCTCGGCTGAGATAGCTCCGCTGTTATAGCTCTGCTGTTAGCAATGCACATTTCGATTAAAGAACAGAAGATATCATTAGAAAATGAACAAGAAGAAAATATCACTTTTTCATCAAAAATGACAAAAATATTCATCAAAATTAGAGAATTGAAGATATCATCATTAAATGAACAAATCTGAGAGTGGTCCATATGTAGTATCTATATATGTAATATTAAAGCAATTGGATTTGCGAATTTTAACAAGATGTCGAAAATATCACTTTTTACCAAAAATGACAAAAATATTCACTAAAATTAGAGAATTAAGATATCATTACAAATTGAACAAATCTGAGAGAGGTCCACATGTAGTACCTATGTATGTAATATCAAAGCAATTGGACTTGCGGTTTCTAACAAGAAGTTGAAAATATCACTTTTTACCAAAAATGACAAAAATATTCACCAAAATTAGAAAATTAAAGATATCATTATGAAATGAACAAATTTGAAAGTGGTCCACATGTAGTATCTATATATGTAATATCAAAGCAATTGGACTTGTGGTTTTTAACAAGAAGTCGAAAGTATCACTTTTTACCAAAAATGACAAAAATATTCACCAAATTTAGAGAATTAAAGATATCATTACAAAATGAACAAATCTGAGAGAGGTCCACATGTAGTACCTATATATGTAATATCAAAGCAATTGGACTTGTAGTTTTTAACAAGAAGTCGAAAATATCACTTTTTACCAAAAATGACAAAAATATTCACCAAAATTAGAAAATTAAAGATATCATTATGAAATGAACAAATTTGAGAGTGGTCCACATGTAGTACCTATATATGTAATATCAAAGCAATTGGA